TATATGGGATAATTCCTTGTAAATGTAATAAGGAATATTCCATAACAGAAATTCACGAGTTATTGAAATGAAAAGAAAAAAAAAGATATATAAGAAAAGAGAAGACATACAAATAAGAATAACAACAAGTAGTAGAGATAGGATTTACCTGCTTGACATTCATTATAGTTGCAAACCTAAAATTACTCGTGCATGTTAGGTCTTATCGTATATGTGCATACGGCGTGAAAAAGGATAAATAAATCTTATCTGAAGATAGTCAATGATCAGGGTGAGGATGGGGATAGTAATAAAGGAGAAGATGATGTATGGTGATATAGATAGTATATTTATGAAAATAAATAAACAAAACAAAAGGAAAAATAACAATAAAAGAGAGGGGAGAGATATAGAGATAGCTAGACGGGAAGAGCAAGTGATACTTAGAAAATCAAAAGACCCTCAAGAACAGCTGCCTTGGAACGACGATTAAGGCGTGGTGATAATAGTAAAGGAGGAGGAACAGGTGCTAATTGTTCAAAATAATTAAGTATACCGTCTTGAACTGGATGTTAATGTTTGGAACTAATTTGAATTTTATCGGCACTGAGATGTTGTTCATGAAGACCAAGACAGACTACTGTAAAGCGAAGGATGCTGGATAATCCACGGAGTTGGGTATTGTATAAATGAATATTATATGTTAATGATGAGAGAGATGAAAAGGAGGCGGAAATTTTTAAACAAGAAAAAGATGTAACGATATTAATGCTGTCTTTATTATGAAGATGAAGATGTAAATGATGAAGGAGATCAACAAGATTCGCAATTTGGTTGATAGTTGTTTGAGCGGAAGACGAGCGGAGTGAGTTGGTGCCAATTAAAAACATAATGGACATGGACCACGAAAGTTAGGAGAGGGTATTGGATTTTTGGAGTTGGTAGGTGGCACAAACAGCACGATTGTTGGTAAATAACCACCGGAGGTCGGAAATTGATTTGATAATGACGCGGTCAGCGAATGTTGTTGTTAATGAAAGAACAAATCTGGCGTGACTGTCCGAAAAGACAAAGTATAGAAGTAACGGTGATGGTGGCGCATCTTGAGGGTGTGGTTGTGTATCTTAGAATGGAAGAAAAATCTTGGTGTGGGTGTGAGTGTGGATATTCGCTTTACATCAATAAGGGACATATACACTCACTTTATTCACTAAGTTCGATCTTGACGTGACAATACTTATGCTTATATTAATATCCAATTCTAATTCTAAGAGTCCCAGTACAAAAAATGTCGGACATATCCAAAACTACAAAATTCTTCTTTAGTTAAACGTTTTGTTTGTCTAATGTCGTTGTGAGTTGATTTTGATATGATGAAATAACTTGAATCAATTTTCGGGTGTGAGTATGCAATAAACTAAATATTCACACCCCACACCAACACCCTCAAGAAAAATACATATTCTCTTTCTCGTAGAGAAGAGTCCAGTAAACATAAATTGTCTGCTTGCTTGTATGTCCGCAGGGTCAAAAAAACATCGAAAATCGATTTTTCACGGTTTTCATTTGTTTTTTGAGTAAATGTGAAGAAAATAGATTTCTACGAGAAAGAGCTAAGCGAGTCCTCGGATGAGCGTTACTTGTATTTATAAGTATATAAATGTTCTATTTTTTTATTTTTTAAGAATAAAAAAGTCGGATGAAGGAGGCATCGACCAACCGAAGCGTTACAACAAATAAATTACTCTTTAAAATAAGAGTATATAAAAAAAACTCAGTTCATGTCCTTCCTCAACAAATTGCAACTGATTATTTCTGTGCTAATATTTGTTCCACAATATTCGATCGTTTTGTAATTATTTCAGCAATAACTTCGTTATCCTTTTGTAGTGTAGCATCCAGAGGATAATCACTTCTTTTAAGACCTAATTTATCCATATCATAATCGTCGACCTTAATGAAAAGCAATTGTAGAGGATCACTATTCATTCCTACCGGGAAAAATCTGCTAAATATTTCTTCCCATTCCGCCATGCAGTGATCTGATTTTGTATATGAAGATGATAAAAAGACAACAACCAAATGTGCTTGTTTATAAATGGTACAGAAATATTGTCGACCGTTAGGACGACAAATTTCATGTTGAAAATCTCGATCGATAAAAACAGGATGAGGACACTCAAGTGTCTCTAGTTTTCGCTGTACCATTTCATAAATTTTGTAAACACGTTCTCGATGAGCTGATGAATACGAAATTGCTATTTTCATGGGCTCTTCGGTTATGCACACAGGTGCTCGTTTAATTGGTAGAACTGTTACCGGTGATTGTAATGGTGGTGGTGAACATGTTGTAACTTAAATATGTGACAGATCTATAAATCAAATAGAAAATAGTGAAATATTACCGGTTGTTGTTGCAAAAGGCTCGTCAGTTTGACAAGTGTCAGTAGTGTTTACACTAAATAATATTGCACCGGTTTCGTCTGTTATGTAAAATAAAAACAAAACCCTAGTGTTCACAACTAAGTATTTGTAAAATTTGTCTACCTTCCGCAAGAGATTTCTGAAGTTCTTCCATGTCTTTCTTAGATATTCGACTATCAAAATTCGATGAGGTATCCTGAACAGCATTTTGTTTACTAACGTGTTCATCATCTATTTCTTCTCGAATGTTCGAAGTTGCTTCACATCCATATTCTAAATATATATAGAATTTACTTCTAAGAAATTGGTAAAAATTCAACTGACCTTCCATCGCGATTGCGGTCGAATTATCATCATTATTGTTCATACTTGGCAATATTGTGTGTGTTTGTGATGATGAAGAAGTAGTTATTAAATTGTCTGTTGTTTCAAAATTAGAATTGATTAATATTGCAGTAAGAACCAATACCACTGCACAAAAAAATACAGTCGAATTTGATAAGAACCAAATAATAATAAGTAGAGTAAGAATAATAAGTATCGAAAGATTTTTATTATTCTGATTCGTAATACTGTCAGCCATATAGTGTAAAAAAGATTTTAATAATATTCTAAAAAGAATGTTTTATATGTACTAGATATATTGTCATGAAATTGTCATTTATATTTTTCTATCAAATATTCTTTTATTGAAAGAAAGACAGAAAGATTCAGACAAAAACAAGTGAAGTTTTATTTACGATTTTTATCATAAGACAAAATTCTTTCATCGCTCTTTTATTATGAAATAAAACTGCACATAATATTTTTTTATGTTGTCTTTTTATGGGAATATTCTTAACACAACCATCTTAATGGTAGGTGTGAATATGGGTATGTAATATTATAATAGCTGGCGGTCATATCCACACTCACTCTCAAGATTGAAACTTGTTGATATATTTTTACAATTTAATATTCTTAATAATAACACAATACTAGTATTCAACATTCTATGTACCTCGGCTCTTCTGAATATTTCAACTATATATTTACGATCTGTATATAACTAATAAAGCTATTTATTTGACTTTTTTCCGAATGATTTAAATGTAGAACTTACCAAAAACTGCTTAAATGAGACGATTTAAAAAAAATCCAAATGGCTTGTAAATTTCTGATGCTAGTATGTGTATGTGATTATATGTTCGCTTCGCCAAATAATTCGTTTTATAAAGTAAATATATTCGTAACTTTTTTCTGTTCTTGTTTCAACTACGCAGGCATTTCGTTGCGAAAGAATATGCACACATTCAAAAGAAGCCATTCAAATATTTTAATCAATTCAAGTCAACAGAATGATTGAGATATTAATGAGATTTTGAAGAAGAAGAAAAAACAAAACAAATATACTTTTTTTATTTTTTACAAAAAGAAAAAACTGAAAAAATATATATGAGTACGGCCAAGCATTACGGAGTTTCGTTTTTTCAAGTTGTGAAACATGAATCTCCTTAATAACAAGATCAGATTAGATTATCATAATAATAATATGAAAACAAAATTTATAGGCAAAATTAGTAAATATATTATTGATCGACACAAATTGTTAATCTTGAACGTCCAATCTTTCTAGATTTTGTACAGCAGAATAATAATCAGGTGGTAGATCATCATCATCATCATTAAATATTGAATAATCAGGAATCACCATCGGATTCGATATTTGTTGATGATTAAAATCAGGATTTGGCTCTGTTCCTAATGTAATTGGAATATCAACATAAAAATCATTAAAAAAACCTTGAATTTTAATTGCAAGTTCAAGTTTATAAGAAATATCAATCGAAGCATTTTGACGAATTCCTTCATGAGATACATATGATGGAGGTAATAATAAAGATGGAATTCGTATATCAAATACTTCTTGTATTTGTTCGTCTTTTACATTTAAAATTTTTGGCAATGTTACTTTAAATATCATATCTTTACATTTACATTGTTGAATTATATATTTTTTTATCATTGCAAGATCAATACGTTGAACTAAAGCTTTCCGTGGATTTTCAATTTGTAATGTCATATAAATTACTTCACCAGGAACATATCCTGATTTGTTTAAAGTAACATGTAATATAATATTTTTCTCATTATATTTAATGTGAATTGGTTTTAAACATTCAAGATTTTCTAATAAATTAACACATGGATAAATTTTTGTTAAATATTTCATAACTTTATTTTCTGACTTCGAACCTTCTTTATACATACTAAGTTGTAAATAATATTTCACATGAGGATAATTTTGACGTTTATTTATTGTTGGTGGAAGATGATTAAGTAATTGAAATTGAAATGGCCAATAATATATGTCTCGTTCAACATTGGGCGTTGTTAAATTAACTGTTTTTTTGTAAAATTTTGGATGATGATATTTAGTTATTGTTGTTCTTCCTTTCCCATATGAATAAGTTTCTGTTGTTGTATAACCAATTTCTCCTATAAGTTCGACTATATAGGTTTTATCAACTTCCCGTTTTGCTTGTATAAGATTTAAACCAACAGTTCCAGATATGATATCACCAGTTAGATAACATTTTTTAGTTGGATTAAGATGAATGAAAGCTCGACTAATATTACCATTACCCATTACTTAACTTTTTAGTTGTGTTGAAAAAAATTGGCATTAAAATCAAAGAAAAAGAAGAATATAAAATAACAAATATTTATAAACGTGTTGTTTTTGCTGTTAATAGTTAATTATTTAATGTTTATAATACGAAATATTTCACAATTGTGCGTGTTCATTCTGAATAGAATAATTTGTTTTCTCATAAATAAATTGGAAATTCTTATTTCTTTTCTTTTTCTAATAGACAGAGCTGTATTCAAATACAACACAATTACATTCTTATACTGACTAAATCTATTATACACGTACATGACGAAAAAGATTTATGATAACTAATTCTAAATTAATATCCTAATTTAAAGAGTTTCTATTTCCGTTTCTATAACAATAAATAAATAAATGTACGTCAAACCTTTATGTTAAATAAAATGAAGAGAAATAACTTTTATTTAAAAACACAGGTGACTTCCTTCTTATTCTTTTCTCTTTTTTTCTCGACGTAATATTTTTTTTCTTTTTTTTATAGGAAAATCAAAGAAAAGAAAAAAGAGAAAAATAAGGCGGAGTGAATAGTTAGCAATGCTATGAAAACAAAAGGGGAAAAGTTTAAATATTACAATTTCTTCTGCAGTGAAATAGACCATCTTAAGGGTGAGGTGTTGGTATATACAAAATATCCACACCCACACCCAATTATCGCTAACTATCAGTATTCACACACTACTACTAAATAGTTATGCAAGATTTTTAATTTATTATTCACTGAAAAAACTTGAGATTCTTAAAATTAAATACAAACAAAAAAAACCTATAATTTTGTTTCGAGAGAAGATATTTTTTCTTGTAACTGTTGTAACTGAGAGAGATTATTGGGAAAAGAAGTCTGATGAATATGAAGTGCACGTTTAAAAAATGTTAATGCCGTTGAGTAATCTCCATGATTATCATGTACTATACCAATTTTGTTGTATGTTTCAAACCAATCCGGATGATCCGAATTTAAACACTTATTTTGAATTTCAATTACTTTTTCATAATATTGAAGTGCGTTGACATAATCTTTCATATTATTATATACTGAAGCTATATTTCTATAGGTTTTGGCCATGTATGGATGATCGGAAGGATACGATTTTTTGAAGATTTCAAGCGCTTTTGTATGGTGAGAAAGTGCACTTGCGTAGTCTCCCATATTATCGTATACTTTACCAATATTTCCAGTAATCATGGCTATATGAGGATGATTGATAGGAAGATTTTTTTCGAATATTTCAGCTGTATTTTGATAGTATGATAGTGCATTTGAATAGTTTCCCATACTATCATGAACTCTTCCAATATTGTTGTATACTTCACCTATATCCGGATGATTGGGAGGAAGAGATTTTTTTCGAATTTCTAATGCCTTTTCGTAAAATGAGAGTGCATCTAAATGATGTTCCATGTTGGAATGTAAATTACCAAGATGGTTGTAAATAGAAGCCAAAGAAGGATGAGTAGAAGAAAGGGTCTTTTCGTAGATTTCGAGTGCTTTTTCATAATTTGACAATGCATCTGAATAGTTTCCCAGTTCATCATGAACTTTAGCAATCTGGCTATGGACGTGAGCTAGACGAGGATGATTCGAAGGAAGAATCTTGACAAATAATTCAAATGCCTTTTGACAAAATGAAAGTGCTTTGGAATATTGACCCTTGATGAAGTCTATAGTACCGATATTAATATATGTTTCACCAAGATCGGGATGATCAGAGGATAAAGATTTTTCTCGAATATCAAGTGCTTTCTCATGAAATAATAATGAATTTGAATAATCTCCCATCTGAAAATGCGCACAACCAATGATGTTGAAAGTTTTAGCCAGATCCGGATGATCCACTGGTAATGATTTTTCTAGAATTTCTTGAGCCTTTTGACATGATAATAGGGCACCTGCATAATCTCCCATTTCTAAACGTACAGTATTGAGATTTATCAGAGTAGTAGCCAGATCGGGATGTTCTGAAGGAAGAGATTTTCGTTGGATTTCTAACGATTTCTCATAGTATACTATCGCCTTTGGATAATCCCCCATGTCTCGATATAGAGCACCGATATTATTGTACTTTAATCCTATACTAGGATGATCCGTCGGTAAAAACTTTTCTTGAATTTCAAGTGATTTTTCATAAAATGACAGGGCACCTGGATAGTCTCCCATACTATGATATAATGAGCCAATGTTACCGTTAGCCACAGCTAGAGCAGGATGATTAGAAGATGAATATTTTTCTCGAATTTTAAGAGATTTTTGGTGAAAATCAAGTGCCAGAGAATTCATTCCCATTTTCTGATATAAATCACCAATATTATTGTAATTAGTAGCTATACATAGATGATTCGGAAGAAGTGTTTTTCGGCTAATCTCACCAGCTTTTAAATAGAAAGAAAGTGCATTAGAGTAGTTTCCTTCGCTTTGATATAGGACACCAATATTATCATAAATAGTTGCAAGATCAGGATGGTTTGTATAAGGCAAATTCTCTTGAATTTCTAGTGCCTTTCTGAGTGATAAGCGTGCATTTCGATAATCTCCTATTTCATGATATAATACACTAATATTGTTGAAATCGATAGCCAGTTTAGGACGCTGAGCATGAAGACATTTTTGCCGAATATCTAAATTCTTTTCAAAGAAAGAAAGTGCAATCGGATAATTTCCCATAGCTAAATATACTACAGCCATATTATTGTATGTTGTAGCGAGATCACGATGATCAGAAGATAAAATCTTCTCTTGAATATCTAATGTCTTCTGGTAGAATACGAGTGCATCATGAAAATGACCCTTACCATGGGAAATCATTCCAAGATAATTGTATATTTTAGAACGGTCTTCTTCATCTTCAGCTAGAGATGAATGAAGTAATATTTCGTAAATCTCTTCAGCTTTTGTGAATTCTTCTATATCGATTAATAGTTTTCCAAGACGATACCATCCAGTCAATCCTGATGTTCGTTTTCGCATGTCTTGTGTTAGTCCCTCAAGTTGCTCATCATTATCGGTCGTCAATATTAAATCGATTTGCCAGGAACTATCATCCATTTTATGAATCATATCAATTCGAAAGACACTATGCATTGAGAATAAAATCTCATCTTCGTCATTCATCTTACTAAGATGTTTTATAGACGCAAATGGAGTTGATGTATCAGTTGAATAAATTGTGATCTTAAAAAGAACAAATGTCATATCGGCTTCGTGTAAATCATTAGAACAAAACACTTTTGCAACATTAATATCTTCAGAAGTTGATAGAAAATTATTAAATGCCAAAAGACCACCTTGATTCTGATGTAATTTATCAAATTCATCATTAGACATTTTTTGCCCACGATAGACAATCAATGGGAATGTGCTAGTTGATAATTGCACTGCATATTCTTGTTTAATTTGTTGATGTACATCATTTAGAAAACATCCCATTTTAATAATAGGATCAATAGCCATTAGTCGTAATGCTCGATTGAGTGATGAATAGATAAATGAGTCTCGCGTATACCACGGAATAGCTAAGCTCGGATGATAATCTTTTTCGAATTCATTAATTACCTTTACATCAGCTTTTTGATGATGTGAATTACGCCAAAATTGAATTAATTTTTCTTTAGAATCTTGATCATATTCAATATCAAATAAAATTTCTTTAATTAATTGTGAATACATAAATGATGGTTCAAGTTCATTCAATTCTTTTTTACAAGAATTATCGAATGACACAATACTCATTGGAATTAAATTACGATCAATTTCTTTTGTTTTTTTCTTTAATAAATTATATATATCTTCGATTTTATTAAAAATGCCTTGTAACTTTTTTTCACCATTTATTGATTCATCGAATTGATTTTCATTTTTAGATAAAATATAAATAGAATGTAATTGAGGAATATTACAAATAAGTGGTAGAAAATAATTGCTAATAGAATCATTGATAATCATAAATACTTTTACATCTTTAACATCAGTAAGAAAATCAATAGATTGATCTGGATCGTTGAATTTATTTATTTCAAATATAATTTGTTTAAGTTGATCAATTTCATTATTATCATTGTTTGAATTATTTAAATAAATAAGAATAAAATTTTGATGATAATGTGATTTGGGAAATGTTGACGTTGTCATGTTCAACATAAATATAAGCAAGAATGATAAGTGACAATTTTTTTAAATGTAATATAGCCCACTCATTTTTATAATTAATTGATTGAAGTGATATGATATATTTTGATGGGGAAAAAAATGTTCGATGTTTATTTGATATGTGTGACATAAACTGGACATTTGTTTTTCTTGCTTTCTTCACATGTAGAAAAAATGTTTCATAGTTTAATGATACTGATTCACTTTATGTCTATTTTGTGTTTATTTTATAAAAACAAAACTCTTTTTTCCATTCCATGGATACAGTTAGTTAAACTGTAGTTTTTAATCACTAATCATTTCCCATATAGCAGTCTCAACGACCAATCTGTAACGTCGATGATCTTTCGAACAGATTTCGATCATTTTTCGATCTCCCACAGTTTTTAATGTCGTTTGATGTCTATTCGTGCCGATAATTCTTTCTTAATTTATCTATAAAAAAATAGAAACTTAATGATCAAAAATAAAATAATAAAAACAGAAATTTTCTCCACTAGTTTTTGATGTGCCCAAAAGTTAATAGTCTTCGCTTCTGAATAATTGATTTCAAATACAATCAATATAATAGCTGATAAGACAAGTGGATACGAATAATCTCTGCGCAAAAGTCGTCTTTACTGCATTATCTTACTCATATAAAAAAAAGAAGAATGAATAGAGCAACCGCCGGTTCCACCTGAATAGAAGAAAAAGAAGAATAAGAGAAAAAGAGAGAGAGAATGTATGAAGTGTGCTGTGCATATGAATAATTCGCTTGAAATAGACGATATTTAGATATTAACAAAAAAAGCCAAACGATAATTGTACTATATGAAAAAAGAGAGAAGCATGATGGCGTGGAAGGATGAAGGCATGGTCAACATAAAAACCCACACCTCACGATGCCCTTTAGCAATTAAGAAATGTATTAGAGGAAAGAAAAAGATATCGAAAGTATAATCATTTGTTGTTTACTACTCAAAAATAATACTTTTCGAATGTATAAAAGATGTCCTTCTGCATCGGTTAGGTTTTCTTAATCTCAACAGTTATTTAAATTTGATTCAATTCTAGTGTCGATAAATTATTTATTAATAGCTTGAACAATATGAATACTATTGTTTATGTTTTTTTATCGTAGCCAAAGTTTCTTCAGAGAGACACATGTATGTTAGAGAAATGGTGTTTTGTGAAAAAAAACGGTGTTCAAAAAGAATCTGAAAAACTAACATCAGATTCGAGTTCTTCGACTTCGATGACCTTTGATGAATCACTATCCGATGACCATCCGTCGATAAGTTTTCACTGATTTATATAATGGTCGAATATGCTTCTATTATGGATAAGAAGTTCAGTGTTTACTCAGGTAGTGGTGAAGACAGCAAAGACGTCTTCTCATGCAAGGGACCTTTTGATATACTCTCAATTTTATTAATATTTTCTTCTAAAAAATCTTTTTTTACATCGACATATCAGATTAGAAATATTTCCTAATCTCTCAATAACTTTTATTCCGATAATCAATACAAAAAATACAAAGAATTTCTTTGTTGTTATTTCAAAAGCAGTGTTTCTCAAAAATTTGTTTTATTGAATGCAAACATTATTTTTATTGATTATGAAAAGGGTTTTTTTAAGTAATAATTCCGTTTTGTCAATCAGTTTGAAAATTTTAATTCGTTCATAAGAATATTTTTAAACTTATTATTTTCAGATAGTTTTTTTTTGCAAATAAATGAAGATTTCATTTGAGGGTGTGAGTGCGAGTCAGAGTTTGGGTGTCTATTGACAAAGGAGATACCCACACCCACACCCTAGTTTTGCGAAGAACGAAAGCAAAAATATTTTTCAAATTAACTTTTCTAATCTCGCATTAGATAACTACGACTCATCAAACGACCGTGATTTTGTTTCAGTAATTTGATTCTGTTTTTTTTGCGAAACGTTTTCATTGATGTGGTCTTAACTTTGTCAAGGTTTTTAGGCTTAAAAAAATATAATCGTTCTTTGCTATATAAAGAGGCTTCGCAATTACTCTTCTAAACTAAAACATTAAAATACTGCTAAAGATGATCACTTCTGTGTCTATCATCTACTTCGTTATTCTATTGACTTTTGAAAATATTATACATGGTGGATTAGTACGTACGGATATAAACTGATAGAGGCAATATGACTTTTTCACTTTGTCATTGACTAGGTGGCGATTCCAACAGAGGATGATCGTACATTTATAAAAAATTGTAAGTTCTTCTCTCACAGACGTCTAATTTCTTCACTTTTCTTTCTTCTGTGTAGCCGATCTCTTCAAAGGAGACATCCTTTTCCGACCGGTAAGTTACATTCTCCTATTTCTATAAATTCACACTTTTCAAACAGCATGTGAAAGATCGGGCTCTATCGACAACTCGATCAGATGCACGATGGCCAAATGGAATCATTCCATATGCTTGGAAAAGCAAGACCTGTGATGCTGAAGGAAAGAATTGTATTTACGAAGACATTCCTTCACATAGTAAGTCCAACTATTTTTTTTAAATTCAACGAGAAGATAACTAACAAAAGACGATTCATTTCTTTAAAAAAATCATAGGTCCTTCGGAACAAGATACCGTTCTGTTGGCGATGCGAAGAATCGAAGAAGCAACTGCTATCAATGATAAGCCTTGTATTCAGTTTCGACCGAAAATTTGGGCGGATGACGCATACGTTTCGATTTTCAATGGAGCCGGATGTTGGGCTCATGTAAGTTTTGTTCCTTTATGTGTGTAACCCTGTTCTTGTAACTAAATGGTTTTCTTCTAGCTTGGTTACTATTCTGAATATGAAAGTCTTGTCTCTTTGGGACCAGGCTGTGTCAATCAGGGCACCATCACGCATGAGCTGATGCATACGCTGAGCAAGTGAATTTTTTCGCAGTTTGTTATATATTAAATACAATTCTACTTTTATATTCTTGAAGACTTTCAACATGAGCATCAGAGACCAGATCGGGATCAGTACATCGAGATCAATTGGGAAAATGTTGATGAAAGTGAGTAAGCTCTTTTATATACGAGCAAAATAGTGTGTCTCTCGAATCTTGAAACTAAATAGGCTTGGTATCCTCTTTTACGATCGAGAATGATATGGACGTGCAACAAGACACTCCGTACGATTATAACTCAGTTACACACTATGGTGCATGGGCTTTTAGTAAAAACGGAGGGAGAACAATGGAAACAAAGCCATCGGGAAAACCTTTCGGCCAGTATTACAATCTCAGTGACATTGATATTCTGGAAATCCGCAAGTATTACAAATGTTTCAACACAGGTAAAGAGGATGTGAGTGAGTGGATTTGGATGTGTTGAATGTGGATGAAATCATACATTCAACTGAGGCCCACACCCGTCAGTTCTTCCACTTCATCGCATTAAAATTTTCTCACCTAAGTTCTGCCATTTCTAACACTTCCGACTTAAGCCTCGTAACTTTGTCAACAATAGACCGTCTCCTAAAATAATATTAGAGTATATTAGGATGACCGTTCTATATAATTCTCTCCACGGTTTATCCTTTGCGTATACTAACAGCAAAAGCCTACTACCTTTAACAATTCTCTATTGCCATATATATTCTTGTTTCCTCTTCCATTCACTACAAGCAAATTCATTCATCAAATTTCTGCGCACCAACCACTTTCGTTTCACAATATCACAGCTAAAGAAATGACTGTTCAGAGAAGCACTGACATATTCTCCTACTACTTAAAACACCTTATTCCTGACCCTCAAGCAAAAATCTATTTTTCTTTCAAAACACAGATTCTGGCGATTGTGATGGTTCACGTTGTGGCTGTTTCAAAGGACATTGTTGGGCTTATACAGATGCTGGTTACACAAAACAAGGTGACTGGTGGTGTTATACTCAAAAGGCAGGGACTGTAGGTAAACAAGAAAATTGGCAAACATGTTCTCAGAATAATGAATGTTCTTGGTATCGATCATGTGGTAGCTGTCGACAATATAGAAGAGAGGAAGCAGTGCATCAAGATGCTTGTGATTCACCTGTAGGAAGACCTTTAACTGATGATTGCAATGGTTCACGTTGTGGTTGTTACAAAGGACGCTGTTGGGCTTATGCAGATGCTGGTTACACAAAGCAAGGCGACTGGTGGTGTTATACTCAAAAGGCAGGAACTGTAGGTAAACAAGAAAACTGGCAAACGTGTTCTCAAGATAATGCATGTTCCTGGGCTCGATCATGTGGTAACTGTCGACAATATAGAGGTGCGGAGGCAGTGCATCAAGATACTTGTTAACTGAAAATATGAATTTTCGTTAAGGATATTTTAATGCTTTGAAAATTAAAAAAGACGTCCTTGCTAAGTATATGGTTGTTTGATTTTTACAATAATCTACAACTTTGGAACTTTCTGTCGTTAGCGTTTTTTTATTAGTTTAAGCATCAGGCGTTCGATTAGTTAACTCTAATCAATCTAATTCAATCGACCGAACGATTTTTACGACGGGAAAAAGAACTGCCGGCTAAATACACGGTGTGGGTGTTAATATAAGATCTATCTCATTAAGCACATCTTCCTTTCCTTTTCCTTAATAAAAACTTATTTTTCATAAAAAAAAGTTCTTCTCTCTTTTTTTTTGATCAAGTTATTATTAAGAAATTGAATCAAACGATAAATCCTGGAGATGAAACAATTGGTTTGATTCTTCTTTTCCATTTCCACCAACAATTATTTCACTTTCTGTATTTCTTGTACTCCAACGCATTATCCGATGATTCCTGAAATTTGCCACATAGATTTGACCATCTATTAGAAAAATGACGAGAAAAAAGTCCCTATCGTTGTTATTCTCGTTGTAGATTGAATTAAAATAAAAAAATATTTTCATAAAACTACATTTTCGATCTTGATAATATATCATCATGATTTACAGTGACGATGCAGTTGCTTTTTTTATTAACAGCTATAAGATGTGAATGCGTTTTTGTTATCAATCGCAAAAAAATAAAAATTACTTAGGAAAAAAAAGAATTTGAGGATGTGAGTGAAAACGAAGTTGGTATATAGTCATAGATATTGAAACTCGCACCCACACCCTCAAGATGACCATACATAATTGGACTAGTCTAAGTTTACATCTTAGATTGACCTATAACATGTATAATATGTTCCGTCGAATTTGAAATTAGGCGGTCAAAAGTTGAACTTCAACTAAAGTGCATTGATTTGCTTTTCATTTAAATATGTCGACAATAACAACAATTGAAGATTTCTCTAATGAAATATTTTATGAAATCTTTGAGTATCTTTATGGTAATGATATATATGAAGCGTTTTCAATACTTAATTCTCGTTTTCAACAATTACTTCATTGTCCATTTCTTCAATATAAAATTCGACTTGATGATCGACTCATGAAACAAAACATAGTGGATGAATTAAAACAAATATCTCATGTTATAAAAAATTATATTTTCTCAATCTCTATTCGACCATGGAGACCTACTACGAAAATAATTTCTTTATGTAATTTCGATTCATCATATCAAAATCTTCACTGTCTTATTTTCAATATTAACCAACCAAATATAATTCTATTGATTCTTCCTAAATTAACTCAACTACCTAAATTATATTCATTAACAATTGAAAATATACAAAAGTTGAAAATAATTTGTAAAATCTATCCATTAGTTTTAAATTTATCAAAATTAAAATATTTCAAAATAGAAACATGTTGTATAGATCTATTTGCCGATCATTCTTTACCAATTGCTACACATGAACAATCATCTTCAATTGAACATTTAATTATCGAACATTATTGTTCAGTACAAGAACTTGTTAATTTTCTATATTATACACCAAAAGTACATCATTTGAAGTTTTCCATTTACGAAGACAAGAAAACACATTTAAATCTTCTCTCTCTAAATCACTTGCGACATTTAACATCTCTTTCGATCGAAATGTGTTCATTGAAATTCGATAAATTTGAAATTCTTATTAATCAATTTAAATTCCATTTAAAAACATTTTCATTGAGAATCTGGTCGAGAAATGAAAATTATTTAAATGCTCGTCGATGGGAAAGAATTATTTTACAAAATTTACCACAATTAGAACACTTTTCTATGAAATATATCATCTGCTTTCAGAATGATGATCAGTCATCACTACATTCAGACAAATCAAATGAATTTCTCACATCATTTTGGCTTCAACGACAATGGCTATTAAGAATTGAAATGATACATGACTTTATAATTTATATCGTTGATGCATATAAGTATGTGGAAAGAAAACATGAAAAAAATGATCTAAATTCATTTATTTAGAAAACAATGGTTTGAATATGATAGACAAGAGCAAAAAATATATTCTGTTGAAGAATTATCGAAATCTAGACAACTTATTGTTGTCGATATATCTAAAAAAATATTGAATAATATTCATAATTATATGAACTATGTTCTACCGGTTATGCAAATTGATCATTTGGTTATTAAAGAAGAAATATTTGTTGTTCAATTAGCTGAAGTTTTATGTTTATTACGTGAACTTGATTCATTAGAAGTTTCTATGATATCATTTTCGTATCCAAGACAAGTAACATTAGATGAAATGATAAAAATCTTTCGTTCAACAACTCATATTAAAATTACAAAACTTCGTGTTAGACAAATTAATAAAATTGAAGAAATTAATTTTTTTCTTGCATTTTGCCCATTAATTAAACAACTTGAAATTAATAAATTACCTATGATAAATGTTGAATTTTTTCTTCGACCATTGTTAATTCAAATTAGAAATAAATCAAAATTTCAAAATCTTCGATTAATATGTATTCAATTACCGACAGCCGATGATAAGATGATACTGAAATTAAAACAAATGATTCAAGATGAAAATTTACTTGTTGATTTCAAGATAAAACGCAATGAAGAGAAAATTTTTGTAGAATAGAAATAAAGTAATAAGCATGTTTTGTTTGTTGCCTGTTGTTTTTTTCTTTTTCTTTTGCTTTCTCATGTACTGTTTTTATACAAATGTAAAAAAAATTATTAATTCTGTTCTTTATGTGTAATCACACAAGTTTGGAAGACATTCACTTTTCTACAATCGTTTTTTTTCACGCATTACTCTTTTGATAATTGTAAACAATGGAGAATAATACTAAAAATATTTTTTTTAATCACATCGATGAAATAATTTTATCATCACTCATACATCAATTAGCCAACTTAGCTGATGAGACTGCTAGCAAACAAATTGTATGTGCGGTGAAAAATGGTGATGAATTACCACATGACTTACTTTGCCAACTTCAAACATTAGCTGAAAATAATGATGATCTCGAAGGATCAATCTCTGCAAAACATATTATTTGTGCACATGCAACTTGGCATAGTAGTTTTGTAGAACCCATGTATTTCAAAGATCTTCCTGAACTATTGAAATCAGCTAATTCTACCATGCGTCAATGTATTTTATGGGCATTTGCATCGACAATATCGTGCAGCAGTATTCTTACTCCAATGATAATTGAATATTTATATGAATATTTAAATGATTCTATTTTGCAATGGTCAATATTATTTATCTTTCGTAAATTATCAGAAAATGATGACTATATTCAAATGATTACTGATGATCGATGGATGTTCATAGCGAGTTTATCGAACAATTTAGAATTGAAAGAAGAAGCTCGTATAACGGTCGTTCATACTATGATTCATATTTATCGAAAAAGAAAACAAATAGCAAATTATATTAAAATTCAATTAGAAGAATTAGTTACAAGTGAGAGTTTATCAAAGAAACTTCTTCTTGTTGCTATACAAGCATTATATAAGATTGTAATGGATGGTGCCCGCGTAAATTCTACTACTTTAGATAAATTATATGAATTGGCAGCAATCAGTGATGATTCTATAATCGAATGTGTGCATGAACTTCTGGAATTTCTCGATGATAAACGAATTCTATCGAAGATAGTACTTCATGGTTTGAACTCGGATATAAAAAGAGAACTTGTTGCAACTCAAAATATATCAGTTTCACATTCAAAAGACGATATTATTGTACCTACTACTGAATTAGTAAGATTAGATCATTTGCTTGATGGAATCGGTCATTTTGATCGCACACATTATATCGAAATTCAACCAATAATTCATATTGATACAGATGATAATCAAGCTTGGCATCGTAGAACAATAAGTGAGATAAAAAATCTTGCTTCTCTAGCAAAACAAGGAAGTTTAACAGCAAAAGACTTCGATTATCTCGTCGAAAAAATGAACGCTGGTGTACATTGGCTTTCAATAACGCGTCGAACTACAATGTACAATCTCATCGCTACTGCCTTTTTAGACGCTGCAAAAGCTGGACAAACTCTACCAGAAAATGTCATTGATATCATGATCGATCGCCTAACGGATAAAACAAACGACTTAAATTCTATTTGTGCTGAATCTCTACTAGTAATAGTAAGTCGAAATGAATTATTTCGAGCTAAACATATAAAGAAAATCGAACAAATACTTAAAGCAACAGACAATGATTCTCTGGGTGAGCCCATCAAAGAAAAACTTATTGAAATTTATGCTCTATATATAAAGAATGATCATTATCCAACATTAGATCTTGAGTCTATTAAAGATGATTTACGGATGGAAAAAACATCTGATAAAGTTAGTTTTCTATTTTTGAAAGCAGCAACTGTTAGAAAACAAGTATTTTCAATTGAACACATGATGCTTCTAAGTATAACAGGAAAATTAGATACTTATTCAATGGCAACACGTCAAAATTGTTTGGAAGCTCTTTATTCTAGTATCCAACATATGAATGAAAAACATTTGCTGAAACCTGAACTAATCGATTCTCTTGGCGAAATACTAAAAGATAAAAATGAAAAGATTCAAAAATTGGCTGCTGCTACATTATGTTTGATCGCCACTAATGAAAAATCTCGTTTATCAAATAATATTCTTGAAAAACTTGCAGTTATGCTACAATGTGATGATCAAAAGTTGCTACATAATCTTCTATGTATCTATATGAGGTTAGCCATATCAAAAGAACATGTGTCTAACGAAATTTTAGATAATGTCATTTATGTCCTATTTAAACTAGAAGTCGATTTTACAGCACGTCATCAAGCCATTTTGATACTGAAATATGTTGTTGATAATGGCCAAGATTTATCTTCAACAATACTGGATGCAATTGAAGCATGTCTTAATGATTCCGACTCTCATATTCGTAATACTGCTGGAATTACTTTTATTAAATATTGGCAACAACAAGTTGAAAAATGTCCTAATAATGATATTAAACTAGACAATTTAGTTATATTTTTTCGTAATCAATTTGACTTACAAGTACAAATCCATGCACTTGAACTTCTTCAGTATCTCATAGAAAAACATTATGAATTGTCCGACGCATTGTTAGAATTAATTGAATGTTGTCTATGCGATCACGAACCAACTATTGTGAAGCATGCATTAACTAGTTTGACCTTGCATATGAAACAAAAACCATTATTGACAAGGACAATTGCATGTTTAGAACATGTATTAACAACGGAAACCAAGGCTTTTCGTGAAGTAGTGAAAATTTTAAAGACCGTAGTCGTCTGTCAAGGTCATATTTTATCCGAACGAACAATCACTCATTTAAGTTATTTACTCTTCGAAAAAGATGATCTTTATTATATTGTTATTTTGCTTCAACTTGTCGATCGTAATCAGCCACTTCCAAATAATATTGTTGATTTTCTTCGACAACAATACTATACCAATGTTCTTCGTTATTCAAATTATCCAGTAAGTAAAGAAAGAGCTACAACCGAACTTTTATCTATGACTGCTAATGGACAACAATTATCAAAATCAGTTCTTAAGACTATTTTTTATTTATTACGATCGCCCGAGCGAAGATCATCACTATTGCCAATTATTGTTAACATTATAAATAATGGACAGCGTTTACCACATGATCAGATTGACTCTCTTAGTACAATTCTCCTTAATACTGAAGATGAATCGTTAATTAATTTAATGAAAGTTTTCACTCAACTTAGTTGTCAGAACTATCTGATTCCCGAAAATGTAATTAATTATTTGCAAAAATTCATAGACAAACCATTAATCAGTATTTATATTATTGAAATCTATCAACATCTTATTGAACAACAGAAATCAGTCGATCAAAAGATTATTAAAGAAATTTTACGACTTTTAGATTCGAATATATTTATTACTATTGAACAAGATTTACAGAATCGACTATTGACTTGCTCAAAAGTCATTGCTAATCGTTGGCCTGATGAAATCAATCAGACAGATATTTCATTACTTCTAGACATATATTCATCATCAACAATGATAAGTAAAAATATTTGTACTATTATTGACGCTCTAGTTAAAAATGGTCGAATACTAATACCTTCTGTTGTGAAAGCACTCATTTATCTATTAAATAATAGTGACGATTCTGATATTTCATCTATAATAGCCAAAATTTTCGAATATGCTCAATCAAACAAACAAGTAATTATTGATTCCTTATTGCAAAACATAGACGATGATGATATGTTTGTTCAAGATTCAAAAAAAGCTATTCAATTGGGTCGAACCTTAACCGACAAAGATTTTATTAGATTATCCCATTTATTCTATACTAACGATGTGAATTTAAAAAGAGAAGTAGCAAATATCATTGCACATCAACGAATTCTCTCTGATCAAATATATAATGCTATTTTTGCTACTTTACATGATGAAACAATCAATATTATTACCATACCTTTATTATTCGAATCATCTGTAAAACTACCACTATCAGTTATTGATGATCTATTAAACGTAGCATGCAATTCAAAGCATGCTATTGTGCGAGAAACTACAAGAAAGTTGCTCACTGTTTATATCGAATATCCTAAAGTACAAAAGTTTTTACAATACGAACAAGATTTACAACTTTTAGACCGAAAGGATAGTATGGCAACAATGCTTTGGTCATCAAATCAAGTCAATGTATCTCTTGCTCTGAAGATTTTACAAGGGATAGTAGTTTTTGATCAACAAATTTCATCCGATCTTTTGCTAGCTGTAGCTTGGTTACTCAGCATTCATAAAGATTTAGTGTCTAATATTCTCATCGAAGTATTGAAACGTGATATTAAAGTGAATTATGATGTTTATGAGGCAATTGAAAATGTTTTTCTCGTTTATCAGTCGAACCAAATGTTTAAATTGATTTACATGTTGGCACAAAAGAAAATTATCTTGCAATGGGAGACATTGAAAATTCTTAGTGATAATAGTATGATAAGTGAAAGTGTTGTAGCTTTAGAATATGCTGCACGAAATCAACTATTACCAACAGAAGTTCTTTCATGTCTTATTAATCAACTTTCACAAGAATCGATAGAAAGAACTTTTTCTATTCTTCGTTATCAAATATTACAAGGCAATGTAGAACACTTCATGGATTATCTAAAGAAACTTAAAGTTCCTTCCATAATTAATTATGAAAATTTATCTCAGCTGGAAACATTCGATCAATATATGGGTACAATGCATACTCTACTTTTTGTTAATTATTTTGATTCGACCGTGTTTGAAATGCCTGCAGAACAATGGTCACGAGAATGTTTATGTGTTGATTTATTGACTGGATGTTCAAATAATACGCCTGAACAAATTGTTTCTTTCTATCATTATTTAACTCAACTTGAACAATACAAACAGTATGATCTGTACGATGATGACCGTGATCTTATTCTCCAGGAACTTATTCGAAAACAACGAACATATTTAATGAATCTTTCAAAGATTAATCAAATATTAATTTATTTACAAACATTAACAGATCGTTCATTTGAAATTCTAGAATCAGATGATGTCAATTGGTTTGATAGTCTTCGTCGATTTTTCATTAATGACAAACTTGAAGAATGTCTTTGTAATGTGATGTATCCACAATCGCTCATCAATCATCTTGTTGATCGTATTACTAAACAAGAAGCTCTGTCAGCCGATTTAATTGAGCCTTTCTTGAAAAATGTTCGTCAACCTCAACATGTCATCACAAATCTCGATATGATTACAAAATATCATATCACAAATATCGAATTGATTCAACTCTTTGCTAATGTATCAAAAGATACTATCGATTTCACATCTTTTGTGCATCAAATAGAACTGATCGTTTTGAACCGTGCTCTCATACATCTATGGCATGGTCCGCAAGAACAGTTGGCATTAGCTCATGTTTATCTATGTCGATTACTCGAAGTAGGATGGATGTTCGAGAAACTGATTGAACTACTGAATCATATTCGAACTATAATTGACTCATGTGATAGTCTTTGTCGATTTATCGATAGTTTAAAGATTATATATGACTATAGAATGAAAGATAATATCGTCCATAGATTAAACAAGATATATTCTAGCGAAGACCCTCACTCATGGCCATTATTAGTACATATTTGTGTCGTTGAAAATTGTTTTGGTTCGACAAATTTAGAACAGACAATTTCGACAATATTGGAAGAAATTAAACATTTGAATAAGATTCAGTTTTCAACACCATTTATTGAAATACTACAACGTATTAATCAAGCATTCGAATCTGATTCTTCAATATGTAAACAACAAGTATCTATCAAAAATTGGAGTATATCAAACATAAAGGCATGGGCATCATATTTAGTGAGCCATGGACAAACAGATAGTATGGAACGAGAATATTTACCTGAAATACTTGCAGTTATTCGTCGTGCTATTTACCTTCATGTAAATTTTGAAGTGCGTGAAATTCAACTGTTAGCTATTTTAATTATTCTCAATAGAAATAGTGATGGTGGACGTTTATTACAAATACTAACTGGTGAAGGTAAATCAACAATTGTTTCAATATTGACTGTGATTAAAAGTTTGCAAGGCAAACACGTTGATATTATTACCAGTTCAATGACGTTAGCTAAACGTGATGTAAACGAATGGAAACCATTTTATCAAATGTTCAAATTAACTGCTGCACATAATAATGACGAAACAAATTATGTTGAAGGATTAAAATCTTGCTACAAGGAGAATATTGTCTATGGAACTGCTGGCCAATTTCAATTTGATATTTTACGTGATGAATTTAGTTTATTGAAAACGCGTGGTGATCGTCCTTATGATCTAGTTATTATTGATGAAGTCGATAGTATGTTAATCGATGAAAATAATACCATTGCTCGTCTAGCCGATAATTCACCCGGTATGGAATGGTTAAATCCTCTTCTATATGGAATTTGGCAAACAGCCAATAATACTCCGGATCCACTATCAAATCGAGATTTGATTCTAAAAATAATTCGAAAATTAATTAATAGTTCCGATGCACAATTGAAATATCCAGTTCATTTAAATCGTTTTGTATCTGATTCTTTACCAATATGGGTTGATCATGCTATTCAGGCAAAAGTTGAATATCGACTTGATTATCAATATATTATAAAAAAAGATGAAATGGGAACATTACGTATTATGCCAATCGATTATTCAAACACTGGCATTATTCAATGTCATACTACATGGAGTGATGGTCTACATCAATTTCTTCAGATCAAACATGGATTAAAGATGACTCCTCTTACTATGACAACAAATTATTTGTCAAATTATGATCTATTTATTCGTTATAAAAGTGAAATCTATGGATTTAGTGGTACTCTTGGTTCGATAGATGCTCAAAATCTTCTGAAAAAAATCTATCAAGTTGATACAATCATCATACCATCATGTAAACCGAAACGTCATTATCAACTAGAAACTATATTAACATCAACAGATGATACATGGTTGAATACCATCGTTCAGAATACAATAGATCATGTTAACAAACACCGTGCAGTACTAGTTATTTGTGAAACAAGACTTGATGCAAAGGCAATCCTTAAAGAACTACAATGTCAACAGCCGACGAGTTCGATCCGTTTATATACAGATAATACTGATAATACTGAATCGAGTGTTATTTCGAAGCAAATGAAACGTGGCGATATTATCATAGCAACTAATTTGGCAGGTCGTGGAACTGATTTAAAAACGACTCAAGATGTTGAAAAGCATGGTGGACTTCATGTTTGTTTGACTTTTTTACCGAAAAATTTGCGTGTAGAAGAACAAGCATTTGGACGGACATCTCGTCAAGGTAATTGTGGTACATCACAGCTTATTCTTAATCGAGAACGAACTTTCTTACAACTTATATCATGGTATCCAGATTATTGGAATGATCATGGTAACCAGTTCACTAGTTTGATCGATATAGATATTGAAACGATTCATGATTGGAGGACACAAAGTGAATCTGCACAATTGAATTACATATGGAAGAAAGATATTTGTGAACTCAAAGAAAAATCTGAACTGTTTCGAAAGTTTTGTGAATTACTTGCTGAATTAAAGGAGATAAAAGATGATCTCTATTGTTTATTGAGTGTAAAAGAACGATGGGGTTTATGGCTTAAGTCGATTGATCAAAGTGCTCAAGTAAGACAAGCGTTTGAAAGGACAATAAAAGAAGCTGGGTTTCGTTATGTTGGTGAGCTTCTTGGCAACGAAAGTCTCTTCGATATTATTTGTCGTCAATTACAAGAACTAATCAATGTCGATACGATTGTTGGGAAGATCAGAGAACATATATCTAATAATAAGATAGTTTATAAAAATAATGAAGAAGAACAACAATATTGGGCTGTTAGTCGAGCATTAGATATTAACATTGTTTTATTTCGTAGTGATTATCTCAATCCATGTATTTACAAGACTAAAAATGCTAAATTGACATGTTTCATCGGTTATATTGTCTCTCAAACTTATCTTACTCTTGAACCATTCTATCCACAGAATGACGACAAATTTGAGAACATTGAACATTTAGCTTCCATCGATAACAATGAAACAGATTCTATTTTATCACCGGAGGAACTTGATAGAGTGGAAAAACTAAGAGATTCTATATGGATTAAACCGAACATGTTCAATATTATTGATAGTTTTGAAAGTTTTAAAACACAAATTTGTAAAGATTATAAGTCCGACAAAGTTATTCAAAATCCTTATTATTTAATCTTGAAAGCAGATAATTTAATTACCAAATACTGCTCATTTATTCATCAGATAAAAAGTATACCCAATGCTATTCCATTCATCAAACGACATGATCGCATTATAGATCAAGCAACGATTCTCTTAGAAAGAGCTATTGATCTTGAGCCAATTTTTACATTCACTGCATCAGTTAATCTTGCCTATTTCATCATAGTCAAAAGTCAACAATCGAAGACTTACAAATTGAAAGCAAAATTCTTTTTAACACAAGCACAAGAACAAATCGATCAGTATATATTACCATCACTTGTTTTTATGACAATTCAACTACCCATTGAAAATGATGAGATCATTCATGACGATTTTCTTAAACAAGTCGAAACGAAAATTGATATTATTGATTCGTATAATAAATGCAATAAAGAAGCTATACAGAGGATTGAGAATTCACAGAAATTAATTGATGCATCTGCAAATTACAATGGAAAGATAAAAACTGCTCAGAAACTATATGGTAATGAGCCGAAAGATTTTGTTGACAAAAATGATGGAGAAATTAAACTTACTTTTCATGATCTTACCGTATCGCACGATATTGTCACAAATGATCAAGCATTAGAATTACTCGATCTAACACCAAAAGACTATTCTCATGTATCAATTGAGTTTTTTAATATGAATAAGAAAAAAATGGAAGCAATAATTGCAAAGATATCTTCACGTGGTGATTGTCAGAATGATCAAATTGATCTAAATCTTATTACGTCGACTGAACAATATTTACAAGCTATCAAACTTTTCTCTGGTTTCGTGTCCATGAATTTAGAATCTACACAAGAGACCTTATTATTTACTGAAGCAGAAGCATATCTTACAAAACAACCAGAATTAGTAAAATCAATATCTTTGTTATTGATTGATAGTAGAACGTTGACTAAAATAATGAACGATGTTGAACCAGCGAGCTTTTCAATAATATTCAATCAAATAAATCTTGAAACTATAAATCAAATTACCAAATATCTTCCTGATGGAAAGCTGTTCTCCTGCTACTTTGAAAATTTATCACAAAAAAAAGCTCGTTATTTATTTGAAGGAGATACTGAACGAAACTTTATTCTGCATTTTCATAAACTAACATCTAAACAAGCCAAAACAATTCTTAACGAATTCAATCGAAATGAACAGGATATTAGTGCTAGCTTCAATCCTATTGTTGAATCTTATTCACAGATCAATCGATCAATTACGGAACTTCATGAATATGCCACGATGGGTATTACTCGTTTACTTCTTATCAAAGAACTTCAGCCACGTCCATTGAAAACTATTTCTATTATAGTTGCACTTGGTGTCGCTCAAATAGTTACCGGTACATGCCTTACTGCTTTAACAAGTGGCTTGGGTGCTACTGTAGGTATATCCTTGATTGGCGAAGGTGTGAGAGATCTTACTACTGCTGTAAAAGGTATTTACTCTCGAAAATTATCTTTGAAAGAGTATGGCATTCAAAAAAGTTTAAGTCTTGCGATATGTTTTGCTTCACTGGGATTTTCAACTATTATACATGCTGCAATAGTTGCTAAAAGTAGTGCAGATAATATTTCAAGCTTCTTTGGACACACAATGAAAGAAACTATACATGCTATCCATAGCAATGCCGCAACAGTTGGTGCCACATCTATTTCAAATACGCTGGAAACTTCGTTGGTATTAGGAAATAAACAGATCACCAAATTAGGAATTAAAGCGGGAACGCATGCAGTAGAATTTCTTCTACCAAAAATTCTGTCACAGTTAAGATCATGTATTCAAGAGAAAATGACAGAGAACATCAATGAACAGATAGACAGTGATGCATTTGTTTGTATGCTAAATCAAGCTTTATTTGTTGATATGTATTATGAGAAAGATCGCTATCAGCATGGTATTGAACTCATGGTTATTAGTGTTCTAAAAGATCACGAGAAAATTTGTAGAAATAATAAAATAATTCAAAATGTTATTCGAGCAATCTCATCTGAAGTGATCAAGAGAACTACTGAAGCATTACAAACATTAATTAAGATAAGCAATGGTTCTGATGCAAATTTATTTTCTATGATCAAAGCATTCGGTTCAGTTATAGATGAGATCCAAAATTGTTACCATTTTAACAAAAAAATAAAACAATTATTAGTGAAATTCCATGAGCAATGTACTGAATTCATATCAACGATTCCGACCTTCGAAGAATTACTTTGCCATCGTTCGAAAAATTTGATTTCTAAGACAACAGCAGCTGAAATTTATCAAATATTACTACAACACAATATTGTCAACAATAATTACAGTATCGCTGTACCATCGAAAGTTATAGCTAACATCGAACATATCAATGAAAATCAAAAAGAACATGTTTTGTTTCTTGTTGGAAAATTAAAGGCAGTGAATCAAAGTTGTTGGAAGAAAAGTAGATTTCGTCAGAAAATCATCGATAGATTTGTTAATTATATTGCTACGGACTTATATGATGAAATTATTCAACCTTTGACACAACAAACTATAAATGGTGCAGCAGATGCTCTATTACGTCAATTACGAAATGAATGCGACCAAAAAGATAAATTAATGAAATATTCAAAAATTTCTAAGGGTGAAAAGATTGACCATGATCAAAATTGTAATTCAGTAAATCGAATTGGTATTCTTGCTGCTCTAAACAAACAACCAATCTCCGTTATTCAATACCAAATAGAAAATAATTTAATTGAACATATACAAATAAAGTGTGAAATATTTGTTCTAACTAATCAGCGATATAGAGAAGGCATTCGATCGATTATCAATAATAACTATATATGTCGAAATGTAATTTCACGAGAAAATCAATTATTAGTTGATCAGTTCTATTTTTCATATGAAAAATATGAAGAATTTAAAGAAACTATGAAAAATCTTGCCAATCAAAGAACTAATCAATTAATAATGATCAACGAATGGTTATCATCGAATTCTCTTTATCTTGATCTTGAAATTTGGACATTTGCTCTTTTTTATCCACAGATTAAATTTTTAGAAAGAACTGGTTTTAAATTAAATTCAGTACGTTTATATAAAAGAATAATTGTGCCTTTTATTTATTGCTCGTATGAAGGCATCAATCAAATGGAATACTCGGAAGAGTATATCAATAATATGCAATTGTTATTGAATTCAGATGATACAATCAGAAATATTCAAGATATATTTGTCGAATCACAGTGTGTCATTGTGCATATATGTCAAGAGAAATATTTTCATTATATATTGAATAAGAAAGAAATTATCGTTACAGATCCTTATGATGAACTTCAATTACTATTTCCTCTATCAGCCTCAAAAAATGATCACTTGTGAGTTATCAAAATAAACTTAGTAATGAAAATTATTTCAATTATTTTTAGACAAACGATTTCAGCAGCTGCAACATCATCAATCTTAGGGAATATTCTGTTTAAAATTTGTCGTCTTCTCAATAACTCTATCGCTTGAGGGTGTGAGTGTAAGTTGAATATGGTTTAGAAGAACAGTGGACTTTCCTAAAGTTTATTTCTGTGTCTTTCTTTTTATTTTCAATAATAAAAACTACATTAAGAAAAAATTGGGGTGTTGATTAGGGTTATACAAGGGTGGGTGTGGGTGTGACATGTACGTAATAGCTACACTCACATCCATCCTCAAGTTTTTCTTGTGAATATTTTGTGCGAAGATTATCAGTTAGAATATGTGAATGTTTTTCTTGTTGAATTGTAGAGCTCAGTGGAATATATTGTTCCTTCGATATTAGTGTCCAGACTTCCAGCAGCAACTAGGATGTTTCCGTTTGCTAATGTGGATGCTGTGTGCCACACGCGGTACGTATGCATATCATCTTCATCTTGCCATGAACCTATTACTGGATCATACAATTCAGTACTCTCTGTAGCATCATTGTCACTGATAGCTCCCCCAGTAACTAGCACTTCTCCGTTGTATAATAAAGATGCTGTATGTGAATAACGTACACTTTTCATTGGTTGAGTTATTGTCCAAGTTTGTGCTAATGGATTGTAGAGCTCAACACTATTCAAAATTTGGCTATCGTTTTGGCCACCTACGACTAACACGGTTCCATTTTTCAGTATTGTTGCTGTATGGCTATATCGCCTATCATGCATACCAGTAACCAATGTCCAATTCCCAGTTGATGGATCATACACTTCACTTGAATTCAATGCCGTTTCCAGATTAAGGAATCCCCCAGTAACTAACACTTTCCCATCCGATAATACTGTTGCTGTATGCATATATCGTGCGTCATGCATGCTACCAGTCAATATCCATTTTTCCGTTGATGGATCATACAACTCACATGTTTTTCCCGAATCACCATCATCGGCAACTCCTCCACCTGTCACCAGTACTTTTCCGTCTGGTAATACTGATACTGTGTGAAACTCTCGTGGATAGAGCATAGGATTAGTAAATGCCCATTTTCTAGCTGCTGGATCATATAACTCGCACATTTTTGTACTAATACCCTGATCTGGTGCTCCCCCAGTGACCAGAACTTTTCCGTTTGGTAATAGTGATGCTGTATGCCAGAGTCGTTCAAGATGAGTAGATCCAGTCAATGTCCATTCCCCCGTTGGCGGGTCATATAATTCACTAGTGCGAACCGTAACACAAGACGCGTTGTATCCACCAATAACTAGTACTTTTCCATCGGTTAAAACAGTTGCCGTGTGCTGACAGTGTGTTTCACGCAGATGATGAGTAGAAAACCATTCTATACAACAATATTTGTGGGTAACTCTCTGTTTGAGAAAAATTTTCTTTAGAAGTGAACTTTTTGTATATGTACTCGAAAGATAGCCCACATGGAGATATTTCGATCACTATTTGAACGAACTTAACTACACTTCTCCTCTAATTAAAATTAGATAAATGGTGAATTACATTAGTATCCGACAAAAATTAACCGATCGAACCCGAAATTTTGAGCAAAAAAAGATTGGCAAATTCAACCCTGCTAGTTATCTTTCCTATTAATGTTCTTTGTTTATATGAAAATAAATATTTCCCGATTTCGCAGTTGTCATAGTCTTTAAACTTCTTGAAGAAGTCTTGCAGAAATTTAAGACCAACAATGAAATTATTGTAGAAACTATTAATAATAATAAATACAAGTTTATCATCTTTAATGGAATACTCACTGTATATTTCTTTGCTATACATATTATTTGTTTTTCACCAAAAATGAATAAAGTATCGTCACCAACAAACTAGTTTATATATGTCTATTACTTTAAAAAGAACAACAAAAGACAACTACCATTACTTTTAACAATAAAGTAAATGCATTTTTCTTATCTTTATATAAGAGAAAAACTGGTTTGAAGAACAACACACATTTCATATAGGACATTTGTTATTTAAATTCGGTCAAATAGTCTAGTTTAAATATTATTTTGTTTCATGTGACGTTTGAGCATTCATTATTGATTTAGTTTCTGTAAATAAATCTTTAGATACACTATATATTATTCCAATATCTTTTTCGATCAAAATATGAAATTTGCATGAACTTTCGGGAGATGTACAATACACATACTTTGATTGACTTATTACAAAGTAATCTACTTGATCATATTTTTCAAATTTTATTTAAGATTGTTCTTTTTAAAATTAATCTTAGTAATTTTTCTCCTAACAGTTTGCATTAAATAGAAATACAGTCTACCATAGTTATAGTATATAAGGTAATAATATACAATCTGAATATTGCAGAGACAGTATTGATGTTAACATATTTTTGATATGATTTTAATTGTGTAACATAACTAGCTGTTATCATTCTTCGGTATTTTGATTTAATAGTAATTAACAACGATAAATCACATACAATTGTATCTAACATTTATGTCCGATTAGATATTCATTTGAAACTGCCATCGATAATTGTATTATATTCAAATTCTATAAATTTTAGTATCAAAATATGAAATTTTTATAATATCTTCTCATTTCAACAACAATATTCTACTTCATCTACCTTAGTTTAAAAAAGAAATATAAATGCAATAAATAACATGTTGTCTTAGAGGATATAATAAAATATATAACGATGATTGATAAAAAAAGTTTAGAAAAATGAAAAACTCGATATTGCTTGCACAGCATGACTCTTAACAACGATAAAAAGAACTGTCTATATGTTTTTTTATCTGTTGTCTATGAAAAATAAAACATCACGTAAATTCATTTCTTTCGCAACGTAGCTATATCTCAATTCTGTCTACTAGAATAAACAAGATGGATTAGTATTTTTTTTTGAATAACTCTTCATAAGAAAAAGATGAAGAAGTGCGCTTTTCGATGTTCGAAAGAGAGAATCGCAGAGGTTTAACATCTACCACAATATAATTCATCAGCGACACACCTACGAGATGTGTTGGAAATATGCTAATACTAGTTGTATCTTAACTTTATCACATGATGATCAATGCATTTTTCAATTTCATTTTCATAGTATTTGTTATAGGATAGAATCAAAACGATTAGAAGAAATGAAACGAATATCAAATTTCCAGTTATTGATATGTGAATAGATGCATCTGTTATATTTCAATTCAATTCACTTAACATATTATCTGTGTTTTAAAAATAAAAACACACATTTTTTCATTATATTCTCTGAATTTAAAATCAGCTATGAATACAATCAAGATTCATTGCTATGTTGTTTTTATTATTTTTAGGTAAATAATTATTTATTGTTATCATTCATTCTGTTAACATTCATTAATATGATATTTTAGTATAACAGGTTTGATTTCTATTGTATTTTATATGTTTATATATATTAGTGTATCACTTTCACAGTTCAAATCGAATCTCAAATACATGAGAAAACATCTCAATATGGTCCATATTCAACAAATAGTAAGTGAGTGAATCGGTGGATGATAGATGCAACATTCTTATCCACACTCGTACGATATTTGAAACTCTAAATTTCATCTGTTTTAGATAAAACTAATCTTAAATGGAAACAAAATGCCATCACTGTGGCTGGTGGAAATGACGAAGGCAAAAAATTAAATCAACTCTATGGCCCTCACGGAATCTTTATTGATAAAAACAAAAATATTTTCATTGCTGATTCTTGGAATAATCGTATTATTGAATGGAAATATAATGCAAAAGAAGGACAAATCATTGTAGGTGGAAAAGGAATGGATCAATTGAATGAGCCAACAGATGTGATTGTTGATCAACAAAATCATTCGATCATCATTGCTGATAAGGGGAACAGACGAGTGATTCAATGGTTGAATCAAAATCAACAAATTCTCATTGACAGTATTGACTGTTGGGGCTTGGCAATAGATAAAAATGGATTTCTTTATGTTTCTGATCATAAGAAGAATGAAGTGAGACGATGGAAAATGGGAGAATATAACAATGAAGGAATTATAGTGGCAGGTGGAAATAAAAAAGGAGATCAACTCAATCAATTCAATTCTCCTACTTTTATCTTTGTTGATGAAGATCAATCAGTATACGTATCAGATGAGAACAATCTTCGTGTGATGAAATGGGGAAAAGATGCAAAAGAAGGAACAATTGTGGCTGGAGGAAATGGTTACGGACGAGATCTCAATCAATTATCGTCACCTCAAGGAGTCATTGTTGATCATTTGGGTCAAATCTATGTGGCTGATTATTGGAATGATCGAATAATGCGTTGGTGTGAAGGAAAACAAGACGGTGAAATTGTTGTTGATGGATATGAGCAGAAAAATCAAACAAATCAATTGGTTTTTTCCTCTGGTTTATCTTTTGATGATGAAGGAAATCTTTATGTTGCTGATCATTTTAATCATCGAATTCAAAAATTTGAAGTAATTTTGTGAATTAATTTTTTTGTTTTTTTTTATCAACTTTAAATTTAATTGGTAATTTGTATGAAAAAGTTTGAATAAATAAATGTTAAATTATTCATCTTTTGTTAGTTTTTGTCGAATTTGAGGATGTGACTGTGAGCCTGAATGTGTGCGTCTATCTCTAACCCACACTCTCATTTTTCTTTATTGTATTTGAAGTAAATATTGATAAAGGATATGTGAAGATAAGAATAATGCTGATGTAAAATGACAGAATGAGAAAATATTATTTAAGTCATTTTATTTTATCGTAAATATTAAAAGTAAAGCAATGATTGAAAAAAGTATTTGCTTTTATTTCTTGTTTTTTATTTTCAGGTAATTTTATTTCTTATTTTTTCTCTTTATTTATAAATAATTTATTTTTATTTTAGTTTATCAAGTAAATATTTCTTTTATATTTATTAAAATATTTGAATTTATTTTATATAAATAGTTAAAATTAAAGAATCACAAGGTGAAGTTTGTTCAACAGCAACATGGTCAAAACATGGAATTACAGTTGCTGGTGGAAAAGGTTTTGGAAGAAAACTTGATGAATTAGCTGATCCTTATGGAATATTTCTTGATGATAATGATGCGATTTATATTGCAGATCGTTCAAATCATCGTGTTGTTATGTGGAAACAAAATGCAACAATTGGCCAATGGATTGCTGGGTTAAAAGAAGATGAAGATGATACTCATGCACTTCCATTAAATATGCCACAAGATATTGTTGTTGATAAAAATGGCACAGTATATATAAGTGATGGAGGAAATTATCGTGTTGTTCGATGGTATCAAAATGAACAAAAAGGTGAAGTTCTTATTGATCATATACAAGCTGTAGGAATTGCACAAGATAATCAAGGATTTATTTATGTATCAGAATATGCCAATGGTCAAATTACAAGATGGAATTTTAATGATGATGATGAATTAAGTGGAGAAATTGTTGCAAAAAATTTAGGTCATACAAATTTTATATTTATTGATCAGAATGGATCAGTTTATTCTGCAGGTATTTTAAAGGATCGAATACTTAAAATAATTGAAGGAAATGATGAACCAATTCTTATTACTGCTCAATATGATTCTTCAGAACATCGATTTGATCAACTTAGTCGTCCGTCTGGTGTTTTTGTTGATGCACAAGAAACAGTTTATGTTGCAGATACACAAAATCATAGAATTATGCGCTGGTTACAAGGTGCAACGAATGGAACATTAATTGTTGGTGGAAATGGTAAAGGTTCTGCATCAGATCAATTAGATTATCCTTCAGATTTATTTCTTGATCGACAAGGAAATTTATATGTTACGGATACTTTGAATAACCGCGTACAAAAATTTCTTATTGATGAAAGTTCTTGTCAAAAGAATTAATTAATAAATTAAATTTGAATTATTCCTATCAATACAGTTTCATGTAATCTTGAGGGTGTGGGTGTGGAGAATATAAATTAAATCAAAAGCATTCACAATTAAAAAAGAGAATAATGCCACCAAATATATTGATGGATTATTTATTCAATGTACGCATGAAAAACGGTTCTAATCGTTTAAAGAAATGCCTTCCAATGTATAGAACCAATTACTAAAAACCATGCCAATTAAAAAAAAATATTTCAAATTCTTAGATAAAAACTCTATATTACATAGTGATGTCTTTAGTTTATATTAACTAGATTTATTCAAGCATATTTCTTATTTGGTAATGTATTTTGTGTGTTCGTGCGTGTTTAATATGCACTCTTTATTTGTTTATTTTCCAACTGACGTTATCGAAGTAGATTTTTCATAGAATAAAAAACGTTGTCATTTTTAATTTTTAACACTCGTATCGTCACGCCGGATCAGAAAGTTCTCGTTTCTTTTTTTTTCTATTTCTTTAACTTGTAGTCAGACATCTTTCATATAAAACATAATGTCATCTGTCAATACTACGATCGATCAGATTAATGCAGCAAGTGCTGGTATGGTAGTATTTCTATCTGTTATCAATTTTGTACCGGGTTTAATTGGCGTTGTGTTTAATCTCATCGTTTTTACTCGACCAATATTACGTCAAGAACCATGTTCATTGTACTTTTTTGCATCAACATGCTTGGATCTATATGTCATATTGATCGTCATACCAGTACGTATAGTTTCCAATGGTTATAATCTAGATTGGGCTAATTATAATATTGCCGTCTGTAAATTAGAATTCTACGGTTTTCATGTTCCACGAAGTATATCCTGTTGGATCGTTCTGATGGCTTGTATTGATCGATATTTGCATAGTTCAATAAATATACGTTTTCGTCGATTTAGTTCATTGAAAACAGCACGAATAGCAATTGGAATCATTACCATTTTGATGCCTCTCTTATACATTCATATGGTCATTTTCTTCACTATATACAATGGTAGAGATCCATATGGTAATGTAATTCCAATTTGCAATGGTCAGAAAGGTTTCTAACAAGCTTTTATGATACTCTGGCATATGTTTATGTATTCAATATGTCCAACGTTTTTAACACTTTTATTTGGCTGTTTGACTGTAAGAAATATTCATCAAGGTCGACAAGTAGTGCCAGTAGTAGTTGGTGAGAATAATCGTTCCGCTAGACGTACAAATAGTCAACTTTTACGTATTTTAACTATTCAAGTGATTATCATTGTTATTGCAACATTACCTTATAGCCTCGTGCGATTCTATATATCCATTACTGGCAATATAGTAAAAGATGGAGTTCAAATCGCAAAAGAAAATTTAGTACTTCAAACATTTAATTCAACGACATATTTTGCTCATTCAAGCGGCTTCTATTTATATACATTACTTGGTAGTGTGTTTAGAAAAGAAGTTGTTAAGATTATTACTCGTCATTTTCCTCACTTCCATAGGCGAAGAAATCAAGTATCCATTGCAAACCAGAACAATTAAACTGTTTTCAGTCTGTATATGTATTCTTTATGTTGTATAAAGAAATATAAATAAAGATCTGATTTTCTGCACTGTCACGCAAAAAAAATGTGCACCTTTTGACGATGAAAATTCCATTCATCTGTGTGCGTCAAGTAAGTGACAGGTTGCAGTTTCTCTTCGTCATTGTTCGAATGCACATGTCATTCTCAATTATACTAACAACATTGCAATCTTTCATCTCCTGTACCATGTCTTCTTACTTTCGAAAAACATGAGGAAAGTATATTTACTGTCAAATCAAACAAAACTTTCGATAATGAACACCATTTTGAGGTGCAAATAGTGAGAGTGCTTAGTGTGTTCACAGTTTATTTGCATTTACCGACTATCTATTTGAAACATAAAAATTTTTGAAGATGTTGAAAAAACATTCAATTCTGCATCGGTTCACGCAAGAGGGTATGGGGGATGGTGTCTCTTCTTCACCCGTACCCACAAATCCTCACTATATTTACACCCACCCTTCAATATATGTTAATTTCACAAAAATATAATGAGCGAACTTTTATTAAAAGCAATAAAAGATGTTTGAATAGCATTTTAAAGATAAATTGTACTCTTTAGATAACATAAAGGCAAAATAAAATACTCATTCATCAAGTTCTAGGTTGCTGTTTTGAAAAAAAAGTGTTCTAATTGGTTGGTTATTAACGTTTTCCAATACCAATACCGCCAAGATTATTTAATTCTTCTTGTATCATACCTTCTTGTATGAATTGCATATATTGTTCTTGCCGATCAAAATTTGCCAATTCATATTTCTTTTGTCGTTCAACTGCTAGTGCTTTAATCTTAATTGATGTTGCTCTGCTTTTGCTAGCTACCTGCTTTACATAAGTTTCTCGTTCACCATCGTTCTGTAAGGTAATAACACCAGCTAAACCAGCAATCTGATCTAGCATGTATTCACTTGATACATCTGAGTAGGTTTTAGCCATAAGAAATAGCAGATGACAATCGCGATCAATATCTGTTGCTGATTCTACTAACAGTACCGTGAAAAGTGTTTGGTCTATCAGATTTATATGTGCGCTCATGGATTCTGCTGCATTAATGACACCAAGAAAATCTTGTAGAATCACCTATAATTAAGAAACTTATTTATTAATAAAGTTATTAAATAATATGAAGTATAGATAAGAATAGGGATTATCATCTTACCCTCTGTGTATATTCTGTATCAATAGCAAGTTTACTGAAGAATCGAGTGATACGACTCCATTGAGTTTGAATGAGTGCAATCTTTTGTGCCGCATCAAGGAGTATCGCAATTGTTTGATTGATTGATGTTTCATTGAAGTTAATCATTGATATAGTGTGAATTGCTACATTTACTTCAGTTTGTTTATGCATTTGCTCATTGAAAAGTTCTCGACTGCGTTCCTCTGCTCTTTTAAGAATATCCTGAAAGAAAATATAAAAAATGGAAGACGTTCATATCTAATCTGCTTACTAGAGCTGCTTCAGCCTTTATCTTTGCTTCGTGGGTGTATTGTTGAAATTGCTCGTCACGAAGAGATCTACATTTTCTAATGCCCCATTTATGAGTGCATGTCCGAGAAGGACGATGAGATGCATAAACATTCCAAGCAGTAGAATCCCACTGACCACCCGGTACATTCAACATAGCCACTTGATAATCTTGTCGAGCTCTTTCTAAATTTTGTTGAGCAGCTTCATATTCGTTCTTGATACTAGCCATCAAAAGGTCCATATTCATTTTTTTAATTCTCATGTCTTCAGCTTCGGCCGCTAGTTTCTCAGCTAAATCTTTATTATCTTTGTTTGTCGAAGTACTCGCTTCAACAACTTCTTGAAGAAGTGCTTGAAGATGATCAAATTGATCAAGTGAAGCTCGAGCAACAGCAGCACTCTCGTTGGCATACTGACCAATATGTGACAAAGTTTGAGGTAACAATGTCTTGGTCATAAACGGCGAAGCCTGTGTGACAACTTTGAGAACCGTTTTCAAAAGTGTTGGAATTCGACGCATATTGGCTTGAATTTTCTGCATACCTGTATGAGCACCGTATAATGCTCTGTACATATCGTTCGCAACTTGTACAAGAGTAGTTTGAAAAGAGTCTGGATGTTTAACAAGTGTGTAGCTAAAGTTTGCATTGAGACGGAAGTCTGCTCTGCTGGCAACAGCCATTACAGCACCCATGAAATTGATACTAGCAGGTCCTCCAGCCATAAGGTCTTCCCATTCAGTTTCCATATCTGGTTGATATTCTATTTCTTCATCAATATTTGGATCAAACAAACTGTTTATATTGGCACGAATCATGAATTCTGTATAATATACGGATCATTATATACAGTTAAAGAAAAATGTATTTTTTTCTCATACAATAAAAATGATAACAGTGGAAACGGATTTGTAAAAGAAGATCCGTGTCAGATGTACTTTTATACTTTTCTTCAACAAAAAAAAACTTGTGAGCAAAGTCCCGTTGGAGCTAAAATGTGAAACTCACATGCCCTATGTAGGGAAATCGTACGTTAAAGGAAACATATTCATTAACGTTTGGGTTGCTCTTACCACTATCCCAGTGATCTGGGTGTGAGTGTGTATGATAAAGAAAACCAACACCCACACCCACCCTTTTTTTCAGAAAAGGGAATATGGCTGTTCTTCTTTTTTAATACTTTGTCTGAAACTGAAAGTGTTTTGGTCGCTTTAAAAACCAAACAGACGTTTAAATGAATTTTCAATTTCTTTTCGGACTATATCAAGTACTTGATTCCTTCGTTATGTTGAGAAGAATAGCTAAGATATAATTATTTTCATAGATATTCTTACCTGGAATAGTATCAACTCCACGAGCCAGTTGGTCAAGAAATTCAGTGTCATTCAATTTAGGCAGGTTTATCAATTCATTCGTAGTCATGCGAGTGATTGTTTCTACATACGTATCACAAAATGGATCAAATGCTCGAGGCAAGAACACTGTATGGGCAATAGAAGGTTCTATCACTGTTCCATGAGTCATGCTTATCATTAGAGCCGACATTAATACGAACATTTTACCTATGAGGCAAAGTGAATTCTAAATAAAATGTGGAAGTTAAAAACTTACTTGAAATCATAGTTGAAAAGAAATAGTTGGATGTATTAGTATGTGATTCCAATGCTTTTTTATAGCCTAGTTTAAAGTTCGACTATTCGCGGAATCAAATGTCAGCTGTTTTTTTCTCATAGTTTGTCACTAACCGAAATCGCTCTTATCAGCAATTCACTGTTCGATGAAAGAGTAGCAGAACAGAACAACGAGAGACTCCATGTTCTACGACCTTACTTCGTATTTTCCGCGAAAAAAGAATCATATGGCTTCTAAATCCAAAGTCCAATGTACATGTACTAAAATGAAGCCAAGAAAATTGATGAATTTCTAGTTTGAGGGTGTGGGTCAATGTGACTGAAATATGGAGAAACATCTAGAGCGCACTTGCATTCATCAATTCACCATATCTTATTCAAAACAAAATAACTTGGTAATTTTATTCAAGTAAAAATGAAGATGAATAAAGCAAGTAGTTGTTATATGTACGTTCTTCCGAATATTTATCGATTTACATTCATTCTGAATCGAGTGGATCAAGCAGCAACGACAGTATCTAGAAGAAAATCTTTGTATTCCTTCTGGCGACCAATATCCGCCTTAGTAAATTCAGTTCGTTGTGCCAGCGTAAGTCGAGCAACTTTAACAGATTGTGCTACTGTTTTTTGGAATAAGTCACGATGATTAGTTGTGCGCATTGAGTTCGTTTGTAGATTGAGAAGGGGACCAATCTGAGCAACTTGTGTAATCATATATTCATTAGATATATTAGCATAAGTGTCGGCCATCATTCGCAACAAATGCGTTAATTGATCGATAGTAATCGTTGAGGGAATAAGTGTTCTCATATGGGCCATTCGATCAGCCTCGATATTGAAACCATTTCCATTTTGCGCTTGTTGAACAGGGTTCACAAAGTTTTGTTTGGTATTTTTACGAATGAGTTCGGCTATGTCCGAAAATTTGATGAAAAGTTCAACTAATTGATACCATTTCGCTTGAACATCAATTGCATAGACTTCGATTTCACTTAGAAAATAATAATCATCGATATTCGAAACCATACCCGACAGAGTAGATGAAAGTACGGCAACTACTTCGTCAATCAATTTTCCCACTTGAACAAAGCGTAATAGTATCGGTTTGCTAATAGTTGAAGCTTCACTAGTAGCATAATCGACGTTACGTAGAGTATACGGTAGAAGCTTCTTAAGTAGATCATTGGATGCAGTTTTTATAAGAATGAGGGCGGCTTTAATGTGTTCTGGAATTTGATCCATATACAGACAAGTGCGAACAAGATCTTCATGTGCATCTCGGAAAGTCATTTGCATAGTTGATGCGACTTGAAAAAGTGTGGCATGCAAAGAGTTTGTATTTTGAATGAACTGGATGGAGTATCCTGCTCGTGGAGTCAAAATGATATCACGTCGTGACGCAGACACCATAAACAGTCCCAAAAAGTTGACAACTGTTGTTCCATCCAGAGCTAAATCTTCCCATTCGTGATCCAGTTCGATCGAGAGAAACTGTTTAGTACGTGCATCTGCCGTGGGGATGGTCATCGTTGCATTTGCACTAATGGCTGATATCCAATTGAATTTAGTGGTATACTGATGGTCTTCGATATGGAAGTCGTCATGTGTAGTCGAATTGTTTATCAAGTGATTTGCATCAGAAACTGTATCTATGAGAGAAATTTTTGTATAAGGCTAGATTTCGTGGTGCTATAAGTTCTGCTTTTCCTCTAATCTCATTTTAGCTGCTCTTACCTTTTCCATTTTGGATAATATCCATTAATGGAAAACAAAATGAATTCAACAGGAAAGACATAACCACGAGACACGTGGTTGTTAAGTCTAAAACACGTGGTACATAGTCGTTAGTTGAAAATTCTATATTTTTATTTACTACGTACACATGATCACTGCTATAGGAGATGATTACGATGGAAACAACTATTTATCAGAAGTTAATTGTATTTTTCACTTGACGACAATTCGTTGAATAATAGTATGAAGATATACACTTGATGAGGTAGAAATACATTTTTTCTCATTACGTGGGTATTAAGATTGGGTGTCAGATGCGAAGCAATGTAATCATTTTTCAGTGAAAACAGTGATAGATGAGAGGGGTCTTAACGTCTTAGTGTTTCTTCACATATTTAAATAAATTCGCAAAAGTGCCACTCATCCTGGCAGTGCATAGATGAATTGTTTAACGGGCGAAATGGTTAACTGATGAGTATTTTAAAATGGATACAACGATCAATTGTACCGATAGTCGAAGTTTTTCGTTCAGTCTTCAAATTTTCTTAATTTCGATTAGTTATGAGGATAAAAAGTGATGAAAATGAGGAGGCATGTTAAACATAAGGAGAATATCAGAGAAGAAGAAAAAACAAAGAGTATAAGAGAGTCTATAGGTAATCAGATTTTTAGAGCAAGCTGTTAATAATACATTAGATTTATTTAATTTAGTATGTATCTAACGTAGTGTTATTGAAACTAGTTGAAATATATTTCATTCATATGTACATACAGACGTATAAGTACTGAAGACAACTGATTTTATGGAGATGAATGTACTTAAACAGTATAAATTCTATTTGCAAATGTGTTGCAACTTTGTTCTTTTGACTAAGGAAGTTCTCCATTCAAACTCTTGTTTAGTCATATATAGCTCTCTATTTTAAGATTTAGGGACCCAAATCGAGAATATTTTTTCAGAGATTGGAAAGAAAACTAAATGAGCAAACTTTCATTATTTTGAAGAGGATTTGTTTTGCAAGAAAAAGATACGTGACGAATTCTCGATCTTTCCCAACCTGAAAAATGTCTGCATCAATGCTAGAAACAAGAGTTTGGGTGTAGTTGTGCCTTGATGAGTTCAAGTCAAGAGGTGTAAGTATTTGAGAAGAAATGATTGATCTATACTCGCTCTCGTTTATAAAGAACACCAACGAAAGAAGCAATGATATCAACGTCAATATTTTCTCCCATCTGTCGTGCTCCCACCGAACACACCATATATTCAGAGAACAAGCACACGTCCTATTTCGTCAATGCGAACTTTCCTCGGTTACCAACATCTGCTTCGAATCGACTGTGGCATAAATATCGTTGAATTTTTTACAAGTACGAAAGCATTTATTTAACGATTTATACTTCAAGCAATAATAATGACATTAAGTGAGTCCGTACTTATGTCATATTAAAAAAGTTGTTTACCATTTTTCAGAATGTCTGTGCATGTTGCTTTTCGGACTGATTATGATGATCGTATCAACGTGTGCACAGTCAGCAGCTAATATAATGTTCTTGAATGCAGACGGAGTTCCCTTATTCGATGTTTATATGAAATCGTCTTCACGTGGTAGTACGGAAGAGATCGTTACTATTCCATCAATAAACGATAGCCAACAAGACTGGAAAAAAAACGGTAAAATGGCATTAAAATACCTTCAAATCGACTTCCTTATAATCATACGAGATGAAAGCTGTTTTAGACTC